GGTGGCAGTATTACTGGTGGCTGGGGCGGCGGGTGGCAGTAGTACTGGCGGCTGGGGCGGCGGGTGGCAGTAGTACTGGGGGCTGGGGCGGCGGGAGGCAGCAGTACTGGTGGCTGGGGCGGCGGGTGGCAGTAGTACTGGTGGCTGGGGCGCAGGAGGCAGCAGTACTGGTGGCTGGGGCGGCGGGTGGCAGTAGTACTGGTGGCTGGGGCGGCGGGTGGCAGTAGTACTGGTGGCTGGGGCGGCGGGTGGCAGTAGTACTGGTGGCTGGGGCGGCGGGAGGCAGCAGTACTGGTGGCTGGGGCGGCAGTAGTACTGGTGGCTGGGGCGGCAGTAGTACTGGTGGCTGGGGCGGCGGGTGGCAGTAGTACTGGTGGCTGGGGCGGCGGGAGGCAGCAGTACTGGTGGCTGGGGCGGCGGGTGGCAGCAGTACTGGTGGCTGGGGCGGCGGGAGGCAGCAGTACTGGTGGCTGGGGCGGCGGGTGGCAGCAGTACTGGTAGCTGGGGCGGCGGGTGGCAGCAGTACTGGTGGCTGGGGCGGCGGGTGGCAGCAGTACTGGTGGCTGGGGCGGTGGGTGGCAGTAGTACTGGTGGCTGGGGCGGCGGGTGGCAGTAGTACTGGTGGCTGGAGCGGCGGGAGGCAGCAGTACTGGTGGCTGGGGCGGCGGGAGGCAGCAGTACTGGTGGCTGGGGCGGCGGGAGGCAGTAGTACTGGTGGCTGGGGCGGCGGGTGGCAGTAGTACTGGTGGCTGGGGCGGCGGGTGGCAGCAGTACTGGTGGCTGGGGCGGCGGGAGGCAGCAGTACTGGTGGCTGGGGCGGCGGGTGGCAGTAGTACTGGTGGCTGGGGCGGCAGGAGGCAGTAGTACTGGTGGCTGGGGCGGCGGGTGGCAGTAGTACTGGTGGCTGGGGCGGCGGGAGGCAGTAGTACTGGTGGCTGGGGCGGCGGGAGGCAGTAGTACTGGTGGCTGGGGCGGCGGGAGGCAGCAGTACTGGTGGCTGGGGCGGCGGGTGGCAGTAGTACTGGGGGCTGGGGCGGCGGGAGGCAGCAGTACTGGTGGCTGGGGCGGCGGGAGGCAGCAGTACTGGGGGCTGGGGCGGCGGGAGGCAGTAGTACTGGGGGCTGGGGCGGCGGGTGGCAGTAGTACTGGTGGCTGGGGCGGCGGGTGGCAGTAGTACTGGTGGCTGGGGCGGCGGGTGGCAGTAGTACTGGTGGCTGGGGCGGCGGGAGGCAGCAGTACTGGTGGCTGGGGCGGCAGTAGTACTGGTGGCTGGGGCGGCAGTAGTACTGGTGGCTGGGGCGGCAGTAGTACTGGTGGCTGGGGCGGCGGGTGGCAGTAGTACTGGTGGCTGGGGCGGCGGGAGGCAGCAGTACTGGTGGCTGGGGCGGCGGGAGGCAGCAGTACTGGGGGCTGGGGCGGCGGGAGGCAATAGTACTGGTGGCTGGGGCAGTGGGTGGCAGTAGTACTGGCGGCTGGGGCGGCGGGAGGCAGCAGTACTGGGGGCTGGGGCGGCGGGTGGCAGTAGTACTGGTGGCTGGGGCGGCGGGAGGCAGCAGTACTGGTGGCTGGGGCGGCGGGTGGCAGTAGTACTGGTGGCTGGGGCGGCGGGAGGCAGCAGTACTGGTGGCTGGGGCGGCGGGTGGCAGTAGTACTGGGGGCTGGGGCGGCGGGAGGCAGCAGTACTGGTGGCTGGGACGGCGGGAGGCAGTAGTACTGGCGGCTGGGGCGGCGGGTGGCAGTAGTACTGGTGGCTGGGGCGGCGGGAGGCAGCAGTACTGGTGGCTGGGGCGGCGGGTGGCAGTAGTACTGTGGCTGGGACGGCGGGTGGCAGTAGTACTGGTGGCTGGGGCGGCGGGTGGCAGCAGTACTGGTGGCTGGGACGGCGGGTGGCAGCAGTACTGGTGGCTGGGGCGGCGGGAGGCAGCAGTACTGGTGGCTGGGGCGGCGGGTGGCAGTAGTACTGGTGGCTGGGGAGGCGGGTGGCAGTAGTACTGGTGGCTGGGGCGGCGGGGGGCAGTAGTACTGGTGGCTGGGGCGGCGGGTGGCAGTAGTACTGGGGGCTGGGGCGGCGGGTGGCAGTAGTACTGGTGGCTGGGGCGGCATGAGGCAGCAGTACTGGTGGCTGGGGCGGCGGGTGGCAGTAGTACTGGTGGCTGGGGAGGCGGGAGGCAGTAGTACTGGCGGCTGGGGCGGCGGGTGGCAGCAGTACTGGTGGCTGGGGCGGCATGAGGCAGCAGTACTGGTGGCTGGGACGGCGGGAGGCAGCAGTACTGGTGGCTGGGGCGGCGGGAGGCAGTAGTACTGGTGGCTGGGGCGGCGGGTGGCAGTAGTACTGGTGGCTGGGGCGGCGGGAGGCAGTAGTACTGGTGGCTGGGGCGGCGGGTGGCAGTAGTACTGGTGGCTGGGGCGGCGGGTGGCAGTAGTACTGGTGGCTGGGGCGGCGGGTGGCAGTAGTACTGGTGGCTGGGGCGGCGGGAGGCAGTAGTACTGGTGGCTGGGGCGGCGGGTGGCAGTAGTACTGGTGGCTGGGGCGGCGGGAGGCAGTAGTACTGGTGGCTGGGGCGGCGGGTGGCAGTAGTACTGGTGGCTGGGGCGGCGGGTGGCAGTAGTACTGGTGGCTGGGGCGGCGGGTGGCAGTAGTACTGGTGGCTGGGGCGGCGGGTGGCAGTAGTACTGGCGGCTGGGGCGGCGGGAGGCAGCAGCACTGGTGGCTGGGGCGGCGGGTGGCAGTAGTACTGGCGGCTGGGGCGGCGGGTGGCAGTAGTACTGGTGGCTGGGGCGGCGGATGGCAGCAGTACTGGTGGCTGGGGCGGCGGGTGGCAGTAGTACTGGTGGCTGGGGCGGCGGGTGGCAGTAGTACTGGTGGCTGGGGCGGTGGCAGGCAGTAGTACTGGCGGCTGGGGCGGCGGGTGGCAGCAGTACTGGTGGCTGGGGCGGCGGGTGGCAGCAGTACTGGTGGCTGGGGCGGCGGGTGGCAGCAGTACTGGTGGCTGGGGCGGCGGGTGGCAGTAGTACTTGTGGCTGGGGCGGCGGGTGGCAGCAGTACTGGTGGCTGGGGCGGCGGGTGGCAGCAGTACTGGTGGCTGGGGCGGCGGGAGGCAGCAGTACTGGTGGCTGGGGCGGCGGGAGGCAGTAGTACTGGTGGCTGGGGCGGCGGGAGGGAGCAGTACTGGTGGCTGGGGCGGCGGGTGGCAGTAGTACTGGTGGCTGGGGCGGCGGGTGGCAGTAGTACTGGGGGCTGGGGCGGCGGGAGGCAGTAGTACTGGGGGCTGGGGCGGCGGGTGGCAGTAGTACTGGTGGCTGGGGCGGCGGGAGGCAGCAGTACTGGTGGCTGGGGCGGCGGGTGGCAGTAGTATTGGTGGCTGGGGCGGCGGGTGGCAGCAGTACTGGTGGCTGGGGCGGCGGGTGGCAGTAGTACTGGTGGCTGGGGCGGCGGGAGGCAGCAGTACTGGTGGCTGGGGCGGTGGGTGGCAGTAGTACTGGTGGCTGGGGCGGCGGGTGGCAGCAGTACTGGGGGCTGGGGCGGCGGGTGGCAGTAGTACTGGTGGCTGGGGCGGCGGGTGGCAGCAGTACTGGTGGCTGGGGCGGCGGGAGGCAGTAGTACTGGTGGCTGGGGCGGCGGGTGGCAGTAGTACTGGTGGCTGGGGCGGCGGGAGGCAGCAGTACTGGTGGCTGGGGCGGCGGGAGGCAGCAGTACTGGTGGCTGGGGCGGCGGGAGGCAGTAGTACTGGCGGCTGGGGCGGCGGGTGGCAGTAGTACTGGTGGCTGGGGCGGCGGGTGGCAGTAGTACTGGGGGCTGGGGCGGCGGGTGGCAGGAGTACTGGTGGCTGGGGCGGCGGGAGGCAGCAGTACTGGTGGCTGGGGCGGCGGGAGGCAGTAGTACTGGTGGCTGGGGCGGCGGGTGGCAGTAGTACTGGTGGCTGGGGCGGCGGGAGGCAGCAGTACTGGTGGCTGGGGCGGCGGGAGGCAGCAGTACTGGTGGCTGGGGCGGCGGGAGGTAGCAGTACTGGTGGCTGGGGCGGCGGGTGGCAGTAGTACTGGTGGCTGGGGCGGCGGGTGGCAGTAGTACTGGTGGCTGGGGCGGCGGGTGGCAGTAGTACTGGTGGCTGGGGCGGCGGGTGGCAGTAGTACTGGTGGCTGGGGCGGCGGGAGGGAGCAGTACTGGTGGCTGGGGCGGCGGGTGGCAGTAGTACTGGGGGCTGGGGAGGCGGGTGGCAGCAGTACTGGTGGCCCGGGCGGCATGAGGCAGTAGTACTGGCGGCTGGGGCGGCGGGTGGCAGCAGTACTGGCGGCTGGGGCGGCGGGTGGCAGTAGTACTGGTGGCTGGGGCGGCATGAGGCAGTAGTACTGGCGGTTGGTGGCGGCTAGGGAGAGCGGTGGCTGGTAGTAGTACTGGCGGCTGACGGCGGCTAGGGAGAGCGGCGGCGGGTGGCGGGGCAGCAGTACCGGCGGCTGGTAGTAGTACTGGCGGCTGGCGGCGGGTGGCGGGGCAGTAGTACCGGCGGCTGGCGGCGGCTAGGGAGAGCGGCGGCTGGCGGCGGATGGCGGGGCAGTAGTGCCGGCGGCGGGTGGCGGGGCAGTAGTGCCGGCGGCGGGTGGCGGGGCAGTAGTACCGGCGGCGGGTGGCGGCTAGGGAGAGCGGCGGCGGGTGGTGGCGGCTAGGGAGAGCGGCGGGTGGTGGCGGGTGGCGGGGCAGTAGTACCGGCGGGTGGTGGCTAGGGAGAGCGGCGGGTGGTGGCGGGTGGCGGGGCAGTAGTACCGGCGGCGGGTGGCGGCTAGGGAGAGCGGCGGGTGGTGGCGGGTGGCGGGGCAGTAGTACCGGCGGCTGGTGGCGGCTAGGGAGAGCGGCGGGTGGTGGCGGGTGGCGGGGCAGTAGTACCGGCGGCGGGTGGCGGCTAGGGAGAGCGGCGGGTGGTGGCGGGTGGCGGGGCAGTAGTACCGGCGGGTGGTGGCGGGTGGCGGCTAGGGAGAGCGGCGGGTGGTGGCGGGTGGCGGGGCAGTAGTACCGGCGGCGGGCGCGGGGGGGCCGGGGCCGCGTGGCGCTGCAGGCACAGTTCAAAGCCCAACTGGGTGTGAGTGGGAGGTGAGTGAGAGGCGGCCAGCAGGAGCAACAGGTTGACATGTGAGAGTGAGGCCACCCGTCATCTTGTGCTGTGTGTGTGTCCCGCAGGAGACGCTCACCACCCCAGCGGCCACCAGCCGCCGACATCTTGCAGTATTGGTGAGTCCTGGGAAGATGGCGGCGGCGGCCCCACCTCTCCCTCCTCCACTTTGTTTACTGTGGTGGGGCGGCGTCCCTCCACCGCTGCTAACTGTCACTGGCTCCTTCCTGGCCCCTGGGGTGGGTCTTGTTGGCCCCTGGTGGGGTCCTGCTGGTCCCTGGTGGGGTCCTGCTGGTCCTGGGGGCGGTCTTGTTGGTCCTGGGGTGGGTGGGTGTTGTTGGTCCCTGGTCGGGTGTTGTTGGTCCCTGGTGGGGTCCTGCTGGTCCTGGGGGCGGTCTTGTTGGTCCCTGGTGGGGTCCTGCTGGTCCCTGGTGGGGTCCTGCTGGTCCTGGGGGCGGTCTTGTTGGTCCTGGGGTGGGTGGGTGTTGTTGGTCCCTGGTGGGGTGTTGTTGGTCCCTGGTGGGGTGTTGTTGGTCCCTGGTGGGGTGTTGTTGGTCCCTGGTGGGGTGTTGTTGGTCCCTGGTGGGGTCCTGCTGGTCCCTGGTGGGGTCCTGCTGGTCCTGGGGGCGGTCTTGTTGGTCCTGGGGTGGGTGGGTGTTGTTGGTCCCTGGTGGGGTCCTGCTGGTCCCTGGTGGGGTCCTGCTGGTCCCTGGTGGGGTCCTGCTGGTCCTGGGGGCGGTCTTGTTGGTCCTGGGGTGGGTGGGTGTTGTTGGTCCCTGGTGGGGTGTTGTTGGTCCCTGGTGGGGTCCTGCTGGTCCTGGGGGCGGTCTTGTTGGTCCTGGGGTGGGTGGGGTCTTGTTGGTCCTGGGGTGGGTGGGGTCTTGTTGGTCCTGGGGTGGGTGGGTGTTGTTGGTCCCTGGTGGGGTCCTGCTGGTCCTGGGGGCGGTCTTGTTGGTCCTGGGGTGGGTGGGTGTTGTTGGTCCCTGGTGGGGTCCTGCTGGTCCTGGGGGCGGTCTTGTTGGTCCTGGGGTGGGTGGGTGTTGTTGGTCCCTGGTGGGGTCCTGCTGGTCCTTGGTGGGGTGTTGTTGGTCCCTGGTGGGGTCCTGCTGGTCCCTGGTGGGGTCCTGCTGGTCCTGGGGGCGGTCTTGTTGGTCCTGGGGTGGGTGGGTGTTGTTGGTCCCTGGTGGGGTGTTGTTGGTCCCTGGTGGGGTGTTGTTGGTCCCTGGTGGGGTCCTGCTGGTCCTGGGGGCGGTCTTGTTGGTCCTGGGGTGGGTGGGTGTTGTTGGTCCTGGGGTGGGTAGGTCTTGTTGGTCCTGGGGTGGGTGGGTGGTGTTGGTCCTGGGGTGGGTGGGGTCTTGTTGGTCCTGGGGTGGGTGGGGTCTTGTTGGTCCTGGGGTGGGTGGGTGGTGTTGGTCCTGGGGTGGGTGGGTGGTGTTGGTCCTGGGGTGGGTGGGTGGTGTTGGTCCTGGGGTGGGTGGGTGGTGTTGGTCCTGGCCTGGGGTGGGTGTTACTGGCCCTGAGTGGGTGTTCCTGGCCCTGGGTGGGTGTTGGCCCACAAGGATCTTCTTGGCCCGTAATGGGTGTTGGCCTGGATGTGTGGGTGTGTATTGTTGCACTGACCTGTGTTTGTGAGTGTTGCACTGACCTGTGTTTATGTGAGTGTTGCACTGACCTGTGTTTATGTGAGTGTTGCACTGACCTGTGTTTGTGAGTGTTGCACTGACCTGTGTTTATGTGAGTGTTGCACTGACCTGTGTTTATGTGAGTGTTGCACTGACCTGTGTTTATGTGAGTGTTGCACTGACCTGTGTTTATGTGAGTGTTGCACTGACCTGTGTTTATGTGAGTGTTGCACTGACCTGTGTTTATGTGAGTGTTGCACTGACCTGTGTTTATGTGAGTGTTGCACTGACCTGTGTTTATGTGAGTGTTGCACTGACCTGTGTTTATGTGAGTGTTGCACTGACCTGTGTTTATGTGAGTGTTGCACTGACCTGTGTTTATGTGAGTGTTGCACTGACCTGTGTTTATGTGAGTGTTGCACTGACCTGTGTTTATGTGAGTGTTGCACTGACCTGTGTTTATGTGAGTGTTGCACTGACCTGTGTTTATGTGAGTGTTGCACTGACCTGTGTTTATGTGAGTGTTGCACTGACCTGTGTTTATGTGAGTGTTGCACTGACCTGTGTTTATGTGAGTGTTGCACTGACCTGTGTTTATGTGAGTGTTGCACTGACCTGTGTTTATGTGAGTGTTGCACTGACCTGTGTTTATGTGAGTGTTGCACTGACCTGTGTTTATGTGAGTGTTGCACTGACCTGTGTTTATGTGAGTGTTGCACTGACCTGTGTTTATGTGAGTGTTGCACTGACCTGTGTTTATGTGAGTGTTGCACTGACCTGTGTTTATGTGAGTGTTGCACTGACCTGTGTTTATGTGAGTGTTGCACTGACCTGTGTTTATGTGAGTGTTGCACTGACCTGTGTTTATGTGAGTGTTGCACTGACCTGTGTTTATGTGAGTGTTGCACTGACCTGTGTTTATGTGAGTGTTGCACTGACCTGTGTTTATGTGAGTGTTGCACTGACCTGTGTTTATGTGAGTGTTGCACTGACCTGTGTTTATGTGAGTGTTGCACTGACCTGTGTTTATGTGAGTGTTGCACTGACCTGTGTTTATGTGAGTGTTGCACTGACCTGTGTTTATGTGAGTGTTGCACTGACCTGTGTTTATGTGAGTGTTGCACTGACCTGTGTTTATGTGAGTGTTGCACTGACCTGTGTTTATGTGAGTGTTGCACTGACCTGTGTTTATGTGAGTGTTGCACTGACCTGTGTTTATGTGAGTGTTGCACTGACCTGTGTTTATGTGAGTGTTGCACTGACCTGTGTTTATGTGAGTGTTGCACTGACCTGTGTTTATGTGAGTGTTGCACTGACCTGTGTTTATGTGAGTGTTGCACTGACCTGTGTTTATGTGAGTGTTGCACTGACCTGTGTTTATGTGAGTGTTGCACTGACCTGTGTTTATGTGAGTGTTGCACTGACCTGTGTTTATGTGAGTGTTGCACTGACCTGTGTTTATGTGAGTGTTGCACTGACCTGTGTTTATGTGAGTGTTGCACTGACCTGTGTTTATGTGAGTGTTGCACTGACCTGTGTTTATGTGAGTGTTGCACTGACCTGTGTTTATGTGAGTGTTGCACTGACCTGTGTTTATGTGAGTGTTGCACTGACCTGTGTTTATGTGAGTGTTGCACTGACCTGTGTTTATGTGAGTGTTGCACTGACCTGTGTTTATGTGAGTGTTGCACTGACCTGTGTTTATGTGAGTGTTGCACTGACCTGTGTTTATGTGAGTGTTGCACTGACCTGTGTTTATGTGAGTGTTGCACTGACCTGTGTTTATGTGAGTGTTGCACTGACCTGTGTTTATGTGAGTGTTGCACCGACCTGTGTTTATGTGAGTGTTGCACCGACCTGTGTTTATGTGAGTGTTGCACTGACCTGTGTTTATGTGAGTGTTGCACTGACCTGTGTTTATGTGAGTGTTGCACTGACCTGTGTTTATGTGAGTGTTGCACTGACCTGTGTTTATGTGAGTGTTGCACTGACCTGTGTTTATGTGAGTGTTGCACTGACCTGTGTTTATGTGAGTGTTGCACTGACCTGTGTTTATGTGAGTGTTGCACTGACCTGTGTTTATGTGAGTGTTGCACTGACCTGTGTTTATGTGAGTGTTGCACTGACCTGTGTTTATGTGAGTGTTGCACTGACCTGTGTTTATGTGAGTGTTGCACTGACCTGTGTTTATGTGAGTGTTGCACTGACCTGTGTTTATGTGAGTGTTGCACTGACCTGAGTGTTGCACTGACCTGTGTTTATGTGAGTGTTGCACCGACCTGTGTTTATGTGAGTGTTGCACCAACCTGTGTTTATGTGAGTGTTGCACCAACCTGTGTTTATGTGAGTGTTGCACCAACCTGTGTTAATGCGAGTGGTGCACTGCAGCCGTGTTTATGCGAGAGATGTACAGGCTTGTGTATATGCGAGTGGTTCACCGAGCCGTGTGTATGCGAGTGGTGCACCGAGCCGTGTGTATGCGAGTGGTGCACCGAGCCGTGTGTATGCGAGTGGTGCACCGAGCCGTGTGTATGCGAGTGGTGCACCGAGCCGTGTGTATGCGAGTGGTGCACCGAGCCGTGTGTATGCGAGTGGTGCACCGAGCCGTGTGTATGCGAGTGGTGCACCGAGCCGTGTGTATGCGAGTGATGCACCGAGCCGTGTTTCTGGTGCTCTTACAACCTGCTCCTCACCATTCCAGGATGATGGTATGCTTGGTCAGCAGCCTTGTGTCTAGCTTTTGTCAAGTCCTGGAGCTGCCTTGGTTTGGCTCACCTATTAGTGGGTGTGGCCTCCCACCTACATCACCCTTCCCCTTGTACACCACCCTCCCCCTTGTACGCCACTCTTCCCATTGTACACCACTCTCCTCATATACTCTGTCCTTGTTACTAGTGATTTTTTTAGTATTTGCTTGTGGGGACTCTTCTCTGGGTTAGGATGTGTGGAACAATCACCAGTCTTGCTGGGCCTCTAAGCTAGGGCTTGTCAGAAATTGATTACTGTTTACCTGTTTAGGTACAGTACCTTTTTGAGCTGTAGTATTTAAAACATTCCATGATGTCGCTTAACATGCGGAACTAAAAATCACTACCGCCTCTCGATAAGAACATAAGAATTAATGAAACTGCAGAATTCCTTTTTGCCCACACGTTGGAGCTCCTATTTATATTCACCCAGACTCATTCCATATATATATATTTAGCTGATCAAGGAATGTTAGTTTTATATGTTCTCATGATTGTAATTTGTCTTTTCAAGTTACACAAATATTGGGTCTTGGACAAATAACGCATCACATTTACAATGTTTTTGTACATTTTCTTTATTTCTTTTTTTTTATGATAAATGTTTAGTCATTTTCTGTACAGGTACTTCACACATCTTGTTTTGTCAATGTCTTTTAATCTTAAAAGCTGCATTTTGTAACTTTTGCCCCCACAACACTTTATAATATACTTAACATATTTATAATATATATTATGGGTTTGGTTTGG